ATCTTGCTTACTCAGCCTAGTCAGGTGATCAGGTCATATGACCAAGGATGAGGTCATATGAGGTCATGCACAGCCATGCACAGCAGGTCACCTGACCATCCAATCCTTCCAGCAGGTTCCAGCACATGCCAAGGTATACCAGCTACTTCCATGTCATAAAGGCTTAGTCATGTCTCTTGACCAAGCAATCAGCTGGTGCCGTGACAGGACCATGATTCTGAAGTTCCCCACAGAGGGAGTCGAACCCTCACCACTGTACCTATTATTGATGTCTGTCAGTGAAGGTCAACATACCACCATCATTATTACAAGTACCATTTGGACTTCAATGAGAAAAAAAACAAAAAGAGGTGTCAGATGACCTCTGAATAACAGACATACCAACACAGATACCAGTTGGACTTCAACAAAAACACAAAACAAACAGGCATAAGGTATCATATTGGGCATTTCAAACTACTGCCCTACTGTACTGCCCAGTGGTACTAATGTACCAAGATTCTGCCTATGACTTACAGAGTGGCCTTGTCTGCATTGTAGTCCCCATATTGGAAGCCAGAAGTGGACCCTAGACATAGCATTAGGTAATGTAGATTACACATAGCTTAGTAGTAGTCTGAAGGTCCGAACTGCTCTGAACATATATAGGTGGACTCAGATACTTTGGATAGGGATCTCAGATCCCTCTCTTACTTACTATCAACTGCACTTGTTCAAGATGGGTGTCTCTCTAACTTACAACTAATACTACTGCTTTACCTTAAAGTCACTCCTTGCTCTGGCTCCCTCTTAGACTGATCCGAGCCTCAATTTGACTGCTCAACCTTTGGAAGTCACCCTTGTTCACCCCATACGGCTTGTGCCCCTTCTCAGCTGTGGTCACCTGGACGCAGAACCTCAATACCTGGCAGCACCAGTTTGGAGAGCCAGTCCACGCAGCACCTTCAACAAAAGGACCTGCATCTTGAAACTCGGCATGCCAGTCTTCCTTTGCTGGTTCAGCCTGAGCTGGCACCATTCAGTCAGCAGCAACAACTTGAACAACAACAGGCTGCTGCTCCCACAATCATGCCATTTGGAATGATGCAATGTCCTGCTACAGATGATGCAAACAAGGAGGATCAGTTGTCAGATCAAGCTGACAGAAACACATTGCATGCTGCACATGGGATACAGTGACACATGGGACACAATGAGCCTCTCCATGAACTGCATCCCCAACATGGGCAACAACAACTCAATTCTGAGAGACAGCAACAGCATGAAGAGGAGCTGCAACTGCCCTTGCTGCATGAGGCTACACAGCTGGAGGACGAGCTGCAGGACCCGATACAACAGCATATGCAGCAGCCAGCAGAGAAATTGATGAAATTCCTCCAACAGCCAGAAGCACAGCTGCATCAAGAGGTAAACAAGCTGCTTGTGCTGCAGGTGCAGTTCCTGCAGCACAAGCAAGAACAGCAGAAGCAATCTGGATCACCAACTGCAGAAGTTGACAGTCCTCTGACCAAACAACACAAGGTTGTTGCAATGTATCAATTGCAGGCAAAGTGACAGTGCCTAGAAGCAGTGGCAAGAGAAACAATGAGTCCATCTTCAGGTGCTGGCAGTCTGCAGCATACAACACCACATCACAAAGACCACTCACCTCATTCTCCCAACACTCCAGAAAGCAATTTCAATGTTGGTCAACAAACCCCAGACACATCAGAACACTGGGATCAACCTGCTGCTAGACCTGGTATGCTGCCCCAAAGCCATGGAACCCAGTCAGCATCTGCTTCCCCAAGTCCAGCTAGTCATTCAATGGCAACTGCTACTGCTACTTTGCTGGCTGAAGGAGTTCCTCACACAGCCGCCAATGCACTCCTTTTCTCAAGCTTGCCCAGCAGTGAAGCCTTGAATGCTGCATCAGCTGAAGCCAAAGTCAATGCTGTGATAAATGAGGCAGCAGACAAAGCTGATTGGGAATCCTATGCAGCAGATGCAGCTAGTCCTTCAGCTGTTACTGCTTCCTCCCATCCCGCATCACAGGAACAGACTGAGGCCAAGACCCAAGAATCCAGTGCATCTTTCCCAGGCACTGATGTGTCTGCTGCCTCTGCCAGCCTGTCCGCACCAACATGGAGTGCTCCACCAACTGGGGCCACAAGTGTCAATGGTACTGCTGCAGCAAGCAGTGCTGCAGCTCCCAAAAAATACTTGGTGAAATGTCTGAAGCTGAAGGTCATCCAACCATTTGTATGTACTGTCATTATTGCATCCACACCACAGTAATGAGATGTCTCACTGTAGTGTCCACTGCCCCTATTGCCTATCTTTGTCACAGAAGATAATTATGCAAGTGAATCACCTGAGACCAGGTGGATGAACTTGCTGCATTGGTTCCATTCTGACAAAGGCCCATATGCTGTGCCGTTTGTGTGCAAAATCTTAGACAACACCAATCTCTTCACTGAAGAGGTCAAGGACATGATAGTGGGGCCAATGGGTGATGCAGTAAGCTGGCCTACCCCCTCTATTTGCTTGCTTATCAGGAACAGTATGACTGGCCATTGCAGCCAGAACATTTGCCCACAAAAAATGTGTGAATGACCAATATGCTCGAGTTTTTTATGAACAAGGATTAAGACTGGCTTGTTGCTCACCAAATATGGATGCTGGAGCTTGTGATGTTGGAACAAATGCATAAGTTCAACCCAGCTCTTCAAGGACACAACTGGTGGCCCATCAAGCAAAAAATGGAAGCAATATTAGATTTATTTATCTGATCAAAAGAGATGCACAACTTTGGCAATCAAGCAGAAAGCTGGGCTGAAAGGGAAGAGGCAGGGCCAATTTTCTATGAGATTGTGTTTGCCCATGACTTGCTAGGAGCACTGCAGGACTATCCCTGGAGGACATAGCACACCTTGTGATGCAGTAGCATATAATACATGTGTTTCCTGTCTCATTCTTTGTGGCTGCAATATTGACACCTAGATACATATGGCATGCTGTAGCAAGGATGTGCTTTCTTTTATTCTCTTTGAATGATCATAGCTCAGCCATATATACCTTTGCTGCATCATTCAGTACTGCTGCAGCACTTGACATTCCGCACCCAGTTCCTGGCAGACATTGCAGCAGATTGGAATATTGCAGTGTGACATCTCAGCAGTGAAATCATTCAAAGACACCTTAAGAGCAGAGTCACCTTGGTGCTGCATTTGAGAGGATCTATGGCACTGCATTGCACTGTACTCCACCCTGCAGCAGTATGTTGCTGTGCTGTAGCTGCTCTTGCTGCAGAAGTATTCATGTCACCTACCAGTCCTCAATTCTTATTGCCCTTTGTTGGGTTGTGCACACAGCCAGATTATCTGCTCACACATTGTCACTCATCACTAAGTGTGAGAAAACCTGCAAGCAAGAGCCACACTTGGCACTGCAGCACCCCTAGCCATTTGACCAACTGCAGTGCAAATATTAAGAACATGTAGATATCATGCATTCTTTACATACTTGTTCATACAGCATGTTGGCTGTGGTGTATGAACAACAGGAAGCTCATGAGCATGGTGTAGCATGCTGAGCATGAACATTACCTGCAGATGCAGCAGGGTACTTTCAAAGGTGTAGCACAGACAAATTGATGATACAGCATACAATGGTGACAATGATACAAATCCATGTTTCACACCAGCCAAGCAAGGGGGGTCCTAAAGACTTACAACATGTGATGGAACAAAGAGTGTGTATAAATGATGGGGAGGGTGTGGAAGTGTGCTACCTTCAGTGGCCCCTGCAGCAGGACATCCAACCAAAGTAAGACCAGGTCTCTTGGTCAGGCAATGGTGCCATGTTGTCTGCAGCATCAGATGGCGTGGGTGACTGTGGAACACTGGCATAGTCCCCACCAGCACAGTGAACAATCCCCTGGGAGTTGGCAACTTTGCAGAGGTACTGCATACAAGTTCTTGCCTCTTGTGCATGAGCTTGCTTATGCTGGAAGTACTCTTCAGCTGTGAGAAGCTCGAAGGGCACATCATGCCCAAACTGGAGGCCTATGCATTTGGAAATTAAAACATCAGGTGCTGCAGCTGGGGCAGATGATGCAGCTGTGAGAATGGGCATGTTGTTGATCTGCCAACCCCAGGAGTTTGCCTGAAGACTCCCCCAGCTGTTAGCACTTGGGGTCAGATCAATTCACTGATAGGGAGGCAGGTCCTGATGTGCATATTGAGGTGGCACCCATTCCTCTGCCTCCAACCCTTCTGCTGCATGGTCAGCAGCATCTTCAGCTGTGGTATCGGAAGTATGTTTGAAGCAGTGTTCCCCTGCGGCAGCAGCAGTATTTGATGGGAGTGCATTCAGCTGGTACGTGAAAGACAGTTCCCTGGATGGCAGACTGGTTGGGGTATGGCAAATGGTGGCATCATTGTGTCCATTGCTAGGAATGTTATGGGTGGGAAGAGAGGCTGTGAATGCTGCAGAGTTGCCTGTGTCTGTGCAGGAAGAATGTCTTACATTGGCTGCATTTGCATCTGGTGTCTATCATATTAGTGACAGCACTGTCTCCTTTCCACCATATAGATGTACCAAATGCACTTCCTGTACATCGAATGGTAGAAGGCATTGTGGGTCAAACAGATAAGGTAACAGGAGGAATATGTCAGGGCACCAGCTGATTGCTTGGTCAAGAGACATGACTAAGCCTTTATGACATGGAAGTAGCTGGTATACCTTGGCATGTGCTGGAACCTGCT